CGATGCCAGCACCTTCATCACGGCGGTTACGGGATCTGTCCCGGCCCTTATGTCGACCAGGAGTTGAGTGCCGACCTCGATAGCTATGCCTACAAATCTTTGGATGGCATCAGCTGTCTCGAGGCCGGACGTTGGTGGTGTTCTGTGTGGATATGAAGGTACTGGTCTCCGGGTGTTCATGGCTTCTCTTCTTTGTATAGAGCGCGCTCTATGTGTAGAGCGGGGTCTATTTTCCGATAGAGCCCTTTCTGGCGCTCTACTCGTCGTGATCTTCGGTGGTGTTCTTTCAGTAACCTGCGCCTGTGAGGCTATCGGTCCTGATATTGTAGGGGTAGAGGACAGCCTGAGGAGGAGGCTGCGTCGACTTTCTGTTCCTATTCCTCCGCTTTTTCTTCTTGGAAGGCTGACGCTCTGTCGCGTCGTTAGCGGGAGGCTGGAGAATCGCCCCGGTGGCTGCCCTTGTTTCTACGGGTTCCACCTTTTCCATTGGTATTTTTTTCGTTCCCTACCCTTTCCTCTGAGGGTGGCCCACCCATCCTCTTGGATGGTAACAGCTTTTGGGCGACTCTGTGGGATCCTCTTGGGGTTCTCCGGGAGTAGCCCCGGCAGAACGATCCCCTGGTTCCTAGCGATCCTCCACAGGACTGGGCAGCGGCGATCATTGACTGCGTGGTTCTTTGCACAATTTGCGCACTTCGGTTCTTCCTCTCTACCCCTCGGGCAAATGCTAGCGATGTGCTCCCCAGCACAGCGAATACATTTCACTGGCCTGAAGCAATTCGCGGAGGCGTGTCCGAAAGCCTGGCAACGGTGACATTGTGCCGGTCCCGCTTTCCTTTGCCAGGCTTCGATGACGACTCCTCTCATATAGAGGAGCTCGTTGGTACAGTTCTTGTAGCCGCTCCAGGCTCAGATGTTCCAGCTGTGCGTAGTAAAGGCAACCAGATCTGCCTCTACGTTTTTTTTTTATAGAAGAGGGGGCAAACGAGCATGCGGCTCACCTGATGTTAAGTGACTACCACCGCCCATGATCAACCGTAACACCAGGGGAATCGCAGGTGCGTTGCCGGCCCTTTAGAAAGGAGTAAGCTCTTTTCTTGAAGGTCCCCAGGTCGTATCGGTCCGGAAAAATCGCCGGCGGTAAATTATTCCACAGAGAGGTTGTACGCGGAAGAAAACTCCTTTTGAAACGTACTGTGGTGGACCGCCAAGCATTCAGATGGTGTGGATGGTATCGGGACGTTTTCCGCGTAGTGCGTTCACGAAATTTGGCGGCTGGGATTAATCCGAACAATTCCTCAGAGCACTCTCCATGGTATATGCGAAATAAAATGCAAAGAGATGCAACATCTCTTCGCAGTGCCAGTGAATCGAGCCGATCGGAAAGCACTCGGTCGTCGAAGATTCGAGCCGCTCTGCGCTGGATGCGGTCAAGTGGAAGGAGCTGGTACTGGGGAGCCCCAGCTGAGAGATGGGAACAGTATTCCATGTGCGGCCGAACCTGCGCCTTGTAAAGTTGCAGGCGGTGTGCCGGCATGAAATACTGTCCCGCTCTGCTGAGCACGCCAAGCTTTGGTGGTGAAATGGCCTTCACGTAATTGATGGGGAAGCGTTTTGCCCGGATAGCCCCCTCAATCCTTTTGGTATCGGTGCCCACTAGCAGTCCCCGGATGCCCACTTTAGTGGGCTTCTCCTCAGCCGGGGTATAGCAATACCAAGACATTTTGGTATGGGTGCCCACTGGCAGTCCCCGGATGTCCACTTTAGTGGGCTTTTCCTTCTCCGGGGTATAGCAATAGCACGACATTGTAGGAAGTTCCTTGGAGAGTTCAACCATATTTCGCTGGATGGTTCTGAACTCTTCCGGGTTCTGGGGTGCGAACCTCACACCCTTCCGGATCGGAAGAGCATTAGGAGGGTGGTCCAACTTTCTGTTGAGCTCCTCAAAATGCTTAGTCCAGTCCGGGAGACATTGCGCTACGATCGGTGGGTATCTAGCCATCTCTTTTTCGGGCTTCTTGGGCTCTTCTGCCGCTTGCGGTCGTGGTATTAACGGAGCTGCTGCCATGTGGGCATAGCTCGTTGACGGCCGTTGTCCGTCATCCTGTGGTAACCCGTACGGATTGGTGGTCTGCACCGGTGATGGTCGTCCGGCGGATGCAGCAAGGGTCGCGTAGGTCGTAGACCCCAGCTGTAAGATTTCTCGCCTCCTTGCTCGTACTGGGCCGAGTCATGGCTGTGTAGGTCCGGCGAGATGGAGGGGGTGATTGCGGTAGCGATGGCGACTTCGGAGGCGAGGTATGAACCTTCTTCCTTGTCACACGTTGGGGCTCCTCATCATCCGATGATGATGATGGTAATGGTGGAAGAATCTGGGTCTTGAGACGCTATGCGCTGCCTCTTCTTATGAAGGGAGGCATCGGTCTCCGGTGGGGTATAGCGTCTTGACGTTCTTAAAGCCCGCTGGGGTTGGGGCGTCGGTTCCTGCCCAGCCGTGTACTTAGACACGGCAGGCGTGAGCGCGGCGGTCGGTGCAGACTCCTTTCTAGGTGAAGACTTCCGGGTGATGGCTTCCGGGTGGGTATTTGGGAGTACGACTGTACTACCTTGGACCATTCAGAATTGAAGAGGTCCCTGTACGCAATCGGCCGGTCCAAAACGCCTGGACGGTCCGGTGGTTTTCTTGCTCGAGGGGGGGGGGCTTATGACGTGTTCAGTAGTGAGTAATTTAAGACCCTATCAGTTCTTACCAAACGATCGGCAAGCAATAATGACGCGCGACGCGAATGGTAGGGGTGGTGGAAGATGTTAATGGCTTCAGCACTATGGGCACTGCCTACCCCTTTCTTAACGAAAGGGTTGGGGGAAGTGCAAATGGTGGCACTTTAAAAACCGCGACTGAGCATAGTAAAACTCGAGCGCTTTAAAGTGCCTAAGAACCTACCTAGGGGCCGGTGACCTCGACGCATCACGGAGTATACGGACTCAACGATCGGTGGAGTATGTCGTAACGACGGTTGTATTCAGCCACCGCTAACTGCAAACAACGCACACCTAGGAGATCCTTAACAAATTGCGAATGACTCGCCATGGTGGTATGCTTTTCTAGCTATACTGTAAAGTGGGCTATGTGTAGAAAGCCTCCTATTTCGCGCGCATTTTTCGTTATCACATTTCTCTTTTTATCGAAATAACTTTATTTTCAACAAAGACACATACAAAAATTATGCTTATCCGATAAGAACACATAAGATTACATAATAATAACAACAAAACATATACATTTTACATGACATTAATAAAATACAAAGCATTATTACGTAATTTACGTCTTATCATACGCGTCGTACACCTTAAAATCTTAAATAATCTTTATTACAACTTATAATAACAAATATTGTTCAATTTACACAGGTCTTATCATAATTAACACATCTTAACAAATAGACAGCTAAGACAGAAAACAAAGCTTCAATCGCATTTTAAACAAAGTTTTAAGCAATTTTTATCTACAAAATATGATAAGAGGCTATCGCCCTCTCGCTCTAGCAATAGCTATCCTTGTTTTTCTTTTAACATACATGTTTACTACTCTAACATTGTATTATCTCTTTCTTTCTTTGAATACAATGGAAGTTTTCTAGAACTAATAATAGCAAACAATATTTTGAATAATTTTAATAATTTTTATCTTTAATCATTTAATATTTCGGTTCGTGTTGCGTAACTGATTGTTACGTAACACATGACTTTAAGTTAAAACAAATGTACATACATCCATTACTACATTCACATGACATTCATACATTCATACACTGTCTTAAGGTTCAGGGAATTAGCCTTTCTATATATATATATAATATATTTTTTTTTTTTTTTTTTATAAATATTGGTTTACTCATTTTATGCTTGCGACGCTAACAGTGACATACATTGACTAAAAGTCACTATCGTTGCTACATATTTACTTATGATTCTTACATACTGATGTCTACATAAAAGAGGCACCGCGTACTTGTATAATGTAGGTCAGCGGTGAATAAAAATGTGGTGTAATATTTTACAGATTTCATAGCGGGGAAGTTAATTTGTTCAAAAGTGTAGAGGTTGATGTTTCTTTCTGTATCATTTATTATATTTAATATTAACTAGATTAAAAATCAATTAACCAAACCACAAATATTTCTTTTATAGGAATAGAGTGACAAACGAGCACACAGTCCACCTGATGGTAAGTGGATGCTGTGGCCCATAGACATCTACATTTAACCTCGCTTAAGGATAAAAATGCAGATGCGTTATCACCCCTGAGGACTAAGATGGAATGGTTCGATTACAGTAAAAAGAGTCTCCGGTTCTCTACACTCACCATATGAAATACAAGGAGAGCGTGGCCCTTCCCCCATTCCTCTCAGTATTGCTCTACCACGTTTAAAAAATATTCATAAAAGTAGAAAATTATTAAAAATTAAAAAAGAAGTAACCAATGAGACATTGTTTTCTGTGTTATGTAAAATTCTAGAAACTAATTAACTTTTCTTTAAGACTATCTTTTTTTGTGTAACAAAAGCCTTCACCTTCGTTTCAAAGTGTGAAATCTGGTGATCGGAAGATTATTAGCCCTTAACGGCATTCGATCACTCTTCTTGATTTTTTTGATAACGTTGCCATTGCTTGAAGTAAAATAATCAGTGAATAATCGGTTCTCACGTAAGCTGGTTTTTACCGCTAGACATCACTAGTTACTAATAATAAGTCAAACGAAGGTCACCTTGAGTTCATATGTTCACCTTCTTAATCAATTTGTTAGCGGTTTTAAATTTATTGTGGTACGTATTTCGTATCAATTTTAATTAAAAAAATTTAAACTAGTGTACTACTTGTTGTATGAAGGAATAGTGTGGCGAAAATGTCTGAATTATATAATTTTTTACGCTATTTACTCATTAAAACCTGTTAAAACTTTCAGGTATTAAAAAACTGTTACAGAAAATTACAAAATGGATTTATTGACAACACAAAAGTTTATTGAGCGGGGCTCCCATAAAGGAAAGGGCCTCGCAGTGTTTACAAGTGGTGGTGACTCCCAGGGAATGAATGCCGCAGTTCGGTCGGTGGTTCGTATGGGTATTTATTTGGGATGTAAAGTGTATTTTATACGGGAGGGATACCAAGGTATGGTAGATGGTGGCGATAATATTGAAGAAGCTAATTGGTCCTCCGTAAGTTCTATAATCCATAAAGGTGGCACAATAATTGGATCTGCTCGATGTATGGATTTCATGTAAGTAGTCCTTGTTTAAAGAATAATATAGCAATTTAAAATTTTAGCTCTAATTTTAATAAAATAGTAATCGTAAACATACATATTCTAATTATATTTAGTGATACATTTATTTATATAACTACATTCTATTTTACTATACATTTTTTATTTCTTATTGCCTACTTTATATATAAGAAAATTTAAATAAGATTTATAATATAGTGTGAATAAAAATAGGTTACTTCATTTAGTAGCCATTCACATTTACAGATATACCTATTTACTTTTAACTATAATTTTACTTAAAATTAAAAAAGTGCAGCTCAACTGTACAAAACCTACAATCAATAGAAAGGTTCAAACTTTTATAATGGATAGATATTATTTTTTTAAGTTTAGTTTATTTCTTATTATTAGCATAATAAAAGCTGGCCTCCTATTCTCAAATCTTCAATTAAAGAACATTAGCCACCCATTAATTTTACTATATTACGCAACTAATTACGAATCTCAAATCATATCTTCTAAAATCACTTGATTATTAAAATTAAACAACAATATAAACTGTTTTTTGATCTATCTAAATTGTATTGTATTTTAGTGGTGGTTTTATTGCATGTCTGAAGCTATATCCTATATAATAATATTTATACTGTTATTATTAACCAGTACAGATCATTCAAAGTTCCTTCATAGGGGGGACATTTGCCATAGTTGCCACACTTGGCAGGGAGGGTTAGTAACTGCAGTTCTTTATTGTAGTTGTTATTAGGAAGAAGCTGCTGCCCAGTTCTTGGTTTTTTCCTCTGTTGCTTCTAACGACACCCACAAGATGATTTGGAGTGGTGGATATTCATACACTGCCACTACGTGGTCTAATATTTCTAAGTCTGTTTTATTTATTTACTGATGCATAAAGCTGTCGAGAAATTTAAACCATTTCTTTTATATTAAAAACTACGGAACTCTTAATAAATAGTGAAGGTAGAGTTTGGAGTGGCATGTACTTCTGGCCATTACTGCAATGAAGGAAATGGACAGATTGAGTCCTGGGTCAAGGGGGCTGTAGTATACAGGCTGATCTTCTCATTTGATAAATTATCTTCAAAATTGAATGTAGCACTAGTGACATTTAAAAATTCATAGGATAGAGAGTGGAATATCTCCAGATATATCAACAAAGATTATCACTATGGTAAAAAGTAATCTCAAAAAATTTTCATCAGGTAAAGCCACTTTCTGCCATTGGACAGAGAAGGAAAAATATAATATTGTTAATTTATACTGCAATAACACTTGAAAGAGAAAGTTATTAACATAAAGTATTAAATACAATCTTACTTTTTACCATCTTGCACTATTTTGTTGAATTTAAGCATTCTTAGAGGAATTAACCTTTCAATTTGTTTTTTTTTTCAAAACCTTGGTTATCTATGATATTGCATTTATAATATTTATTTATGACTACTTCTGGACCTACATCTTATCTTAAACATCACAAAATACAGTCTTGACTAAAAGCAATTATAAATTCACCAAACTTGATCATTGCTTTGTCATAATTTAAATTTTTTCATTATGCTCGGCCTATTGTCACTTAAAATTTTTTTATTTAACTGAATGTTATTTTTGTGTGTATAATTAATAATTAATATATTTGTCAATTTTAATGAATCTTCTATTAGGTTATACTTCTGGCATAGTCCCATATAAATTTGAAAAAAAAAATCTATTCCTAAGGATGTAATAGTAACAAAAGTTTTAACATAACCAAATAGAAGATGACATTATAGTTCAAAGATATGAAAGATGGGCTACTAAAAAAAATTTCTGTTACATTGGGTGTTTTTATAAGAGAGTTAAGTGACAGGACAAGTAGATCCCCATATAACTGCCTCTGTGTATAACAACAGCATTTAGCAAATTAATGTTTAAAAAAACGTCCCAGTAGGACTCTTTTTTTACAATTTTTTTATATAAGGTTAGGGTGACAAATGAGCACACAGTCCACCGGCACAGGCCTTGAGAATGTGATATTCCTAAGCCCGCAAAAGGGTCAAAAAGTTAAACTTAAAAAAAAATGAAAGTTGATATAAAAAAGAATAGAATATTCCATATTATAGCTTGATGAATTGGCGGAGTTAATTTTTCTTACAGCACCAGTTCTGGAAGCTATTATGTGGAAAATTAATCATGCATTTTAGTTTTTTGAAGTCTTAGAAGTCTGGTTTTTATATTTATTCAAAAGTTGATTTTAGGTATATTTATATTATAGTGAAAAGGAGGATTTAATAGTATTAATTTTGTTATAGAAAAAGGGAAGGTCGTTTGAAAGCTGCTTTTAATTTGGTCACCCGTGGAATAACAAACTTAGTGGTTATTGGTGGTGATGGCTCCCTCACTGGAGCAAATCTTTTCCGTCAAGAATGGTCAAGCTTACTAGATGAGTTACTTGAAAATAATAAAATTACTAAAGACCAAAGAGAAAAATACAAATATTTGCATATTGCTGGCATGGTAGGTTTTTTAATCATGTATTCAATTTATTAGTAGCTAAGTACAAATTTATATATATATATATATATATAGGCTACACTAATAGTATCGGGAATGAAATATTTCCACTGTTCCTGTCATATTAAAATCTTTTTAATTGAAAACTCCTTGGTTTTAAAAATCGAATACCATTTATTTATTTAAAAAAAAGATTCTCGGTCTTGTCACAAGGTTTTGTCAAACTTGTTTAGTCCTTGAGAAAATGGAATTGACTCGAGAAAATTCAAGAGATTTTTGGTGATCCACATCCAAAACCACAATTTATCGCTAGTTTGCTGAATTTCAACGTGGACGTGTCAAGCTCAGTTATGATCCCCGTCAAGGTCGTCCAAAAACTGGGTGACTGCAGTAATGTTGCAAGAAACTGCAAGAAAACGTTGATGCTGTGCGTAAGCTGATTGAGGAAGATAGACATGTGACATACCGCGAAATTCAGGCAACTTTAGACATTGGCACAAATAATCTTGCGTGAACAATTACGTTTAGAAAAGTTTTTTCCCGATGGATACCGCATTCGCTCTGTGAAGAGCAAAAAGCGGCTCGCGTTACTTGGTGCGTCAGAACTCTCGAAAGATTCCACGCAGGATCCTCAAATGCTGTATACAACATCGTATCAGGTGACGAACCCTGGATATACGCGTACGAACCCGAACCAAAAAACCAGTCACGAGTTTGGGTGTTCGAAAATGAGTTAAAGCCAACAAAAATTGTTCGTTCACGGAGTTTCGCAAAAAACTGGTGGCCACGTTTGTCTCCAAAACCGGCCATGTTACGACTATTCCTCTTGAGGGACAAAGAATGGTTAATGCAGAATGATATGCTAGCATTTGTTTGCCACAGGTCGCTTCTGAACTCCGTAAAGAGAACGGCAACCGCCGCATCATACTCCATCACGACAATGCGAGTTCTCACACCGCACACAGAACAAAACAGTTTTTAGAGCAAAAAAACATAGAATTATTAGACCATCCTCCGTACAGCCCCGATCTAAGCCCTAAAGATTTCTATACTTTCCCTAAAATAAATAATAAATTGCGTGGACAGAGATTTTCATCACCTGAAGAAGCTGTAGACTGAGAGACAAAACAGCCATTTTGGAGACCCCAACTTTCGAATGGAATGGTTGCTTCAATGATTGGTTCCATCGTATGGAAAAATGTGTCAAATTTCGCGGAGAATACTTCGAAAAGCAATAAATACATTTTTAAATAGTAATGTTGTGTCTCTTCCTTGATTCCCGAAATTTTCAGTGCCGCCCTCGTATCAAATCTATAGTATCAATATTTTATTTTCTTATTATTTTAAAAACTCAATTGAAAAACCTTAATTAAAGATTTCATGCTAAAATGAAGGGCCTAATGTGTCATTAAGTTGGCAGTTATATAATTTTTACATCTCCCTATCATCCTGAGTGTTGTAGGAAACAACGCAGATACATCATCTTAATTCTATCATCATCATCGTCGTCATTACAGCCCTTTACAAGTCCACTGTTGAACATAGGCCTCCCCTCTTTTTCACTCTCCTTCTGCCACAAAGCACACCCTAAACCACCTGCATCTAACAACTCTATCACCCACCAGGTCATCGCTCCATAATTCTATATCAGAACAAAATATTAGTTGCAATAAATATGAGATACAGGATTGTAAAAGCCATGTCTGGTGCTTAGATTATCAAAATTTAACCTAAAACAGCAATCAAGGGCAAACTCTCGCATGTAGGCTTCCAGTTTTTAGTTACATGGTTTCTAGTTTTCAGTTTGCGCTTGCCATTGTGGCATGATATGTTTAACAGAACCAGCTATAATGTATCATGGTAGCTGGTTGTGTTAAAAATCTCAAAAGAGGACAAAATACCATCCAATAGTGAACCTGTTGACATAATGGGCAGATTTTGAGCATGACAAGTACTTAACATTGTATCGTCATCGTGGTAGAATCGTTGCAAAAACATCAGGACATGCTGAGCAGCCTTATTAAATCCTCGTTATGTGATTGAATGCATATCAATTTCAACCAGACAAAAGTCATGTTTAATGACCACGTCATACCTGCGCCATTACTGTCGACAATGAGATTTTTGAAGTTGTCCATACTTAAGGTAGGACAGCACTAGGTGGAACTGTACCGCATCGGAACTGAGCGGTGCGAGGTGGTCAGTTGATCAACTTTGCCGCGTAGTTCTGCTGCAGTATAGTATCGTTGCCGCTTTAGTGCGTGTTGTCTCAAATAATTTCGTATAAAGAATATTTTGCATGGAGCAATTCTTGGAGTTGATCTAGTTTATAAAATTAGTAGTGAAGAATTGCGTCGTTTTATATATAGATTTTTTTTAATATTCTGAGTGTTTATAAAAAATTGATTACTTTAAATATTACTTAATTTCTTTCTAGGTAGGTTCCATTGACAACGATTTCTGTGGCACAGACATGACAATAGGCACTGACTCTGCCTTGCATCGTATTATAGAAGCTATTGATGCTATAGTAAGCACAGCATATTCCCATCAAAGAACATTTATTATGGAGGTGATGGGAAGGCATTGTGGGTAAGTTAAAAAGTAACTATATGGTAGTAAGTAAATACCTACTATTAATTTTACTTGTACAACTCGGAATACAAAGAAATATTTGAAATTAAATCTTATATTTACTTTATTGGCTTAGATATCTGGCTGTGGTCGCAGCCTTGGCATCAGAAGCAGACTATGTATTTATTCCTGAGGCACCACCTTCCGTAGACTGGAAAGATAAACTTTGTGATAAATTAGAACAGGCAAGCAATGCTAGCGAATTTGTGTCCTGATCTACTTTTGTTGTTAACCTATTCATATCCCATGTAGATCCTATACGGTTTTATCTTCCTAAATTAAACATCCTTTTAGTTTTCTTGCAGTCTACACCGCACTCTGTACGGAAGCTACTTACAGTTTTATTTGCGAAGACCCAGCGCCTCTCAATTGGGAAAAAAAATTATGTGCTAAGATAGCCGAGGCAAGAAATTGAAACCTTATTTATTTTAATGGGAGCAGGATCACTGTTACATGTTTACCCATCCTAATTTTGGTGTAGTCTAAAACATTTGTGGTATCTTTTAAATGTTGACTTAAAAACCCGAAATCTTTTTGATCTTTAACTATATCTTCTCGTTCATTTACATCTCTTAATTGGGTTTGATATGCATGGTTCATTATGTTCGGATGCTGCTTGTTGCAGTTATCTGGCATTAGTGGCCGCTCTGGCGAGCGAGGCTGATCAAGTATTCATTCCTGAGGACCCTGTTCCCAATAATTGGGTTGAAAAGCTTTGCAAAAGATTACAGCAGGTATGCAGCTTTAGTTGAGCGGCACTGTGTAACTTATAACACACAATCATAACCAAATATTTAGTGACTTTACTTTGTTATTCTTATTATATGTAGATATATTGTAATAAGCTAAAAACAAAGCTGTTGCCAAATATTCCACGATTTTTATAAAAATGTAGACGTGATTTCAATAAAATCATTAATAATATTTATTACCTTTTTTCTTTACAATTATGTCCAGAATTTTTCTTTTCGGCTGTGAAATTACTTAGTGCTCTTGCAGCTTCAATTGTGTGTTGTTTGTCAGACTTTGTTTCAATCCATGGTGATATTTTTTGCCTTGCTAAATTTGGTATTTTATGGGTACAGCACAGTTAAATATATATTGTTTTTTTTTTAAGAAGAGTACTTTCCTAATTGAAAAATCCGTAACATGAACCCCTTGTGTTTGCTTTACCATAAACCGCATGAAAAAAAAACCTTGCATGATCTAGTGATGGTTTTTAATTAATTTTATTGCTTTAAATATTTATATTATCAGTTTCGTGATATCTGTGAAATAATAATGTTTAATTATTAATTGTTATCAGGAAAGAAAGTCGGGACAACGTCTTAACATTATCATAGTAGCGGAGGGCGCTATTGATCGTGAAGGTAAGCCGATCACCGCCGAACTAGTAAAGAAAGTCGTCGTGGAAAATCTTCAACAGGATACTCGCATCACCGTTCTGGGTCACGTTCAGCGAGGTGGTTCACCTTCCGCCTTTGACAGGATTTTGGTAAAGATATTTAACATAGTAATTAATTATTTACTAATCTATTACTAATCTAAACTACTACTAATCCTCTTTTTCAAATTAGTAACCAATAATAAAACCTAGTACTTATTTTTTAAAGTAGTAAAATCTTATTCTGTTCTAATTCATATTTCAAGTACATGTATACGATTTCTTTTATTTATTTAATCAAAAATAAATGTTTATTCCTCTCACACTGCAATGGAAATGCGAGGTGAAAAAAAGACATCGAAACACAAAATAATAAATTTAATATATACAATATGTAACATAATTAACGCACACCCTCAGACACCCCAATTAGTATATTATGTTATAATCATAATACATATACTGAATTTTTAGTTAAACATTTTTATGCACTGAATATTTATCAAATTAGTTATACTAATTCCGGAAGAATGTTGTGGTCCCAGTACAAATCCACGAACGCAAAGACTTTAATATGCTTGAAATAAAGTTCATTTTTCTTTATTTTAATTGAATGACAGATTTAGTAATATTACAAATAAAACTGCACTCTTAAAAGTCTTATTGCCTTAAGTTACGGTCGATTTCAGTTTGTTTTAACTGTACAGATTTAGTGTGACTGTAATTTACGTAGTTTTAATTATTTTTGGGATAAAAAATTACCTATATTAAAAATGATAGGAATCGATTCAGTAAACGATTCTGAACAAACTACTTTCTCAAAGTGCGTTAATTATGTTACGTGTTGCATAAAGCTTCGAAAAGAGATTATTATAATCGTCATTCCTATCGCACAAAGGCAATATGTTTATTAATTTTTTTTAACAATTATGTGCTTAGTAAGTTGTTAAATCTGTATCTGGGGCTGTCAAACCTCACATATATACTATACATATATACAGTGAACACGTCAGCAAAACATTGCGTTTAGTTGCAACAAAAAGTCGAGGAACCATGTTAAATATGTAATAATGTCACTCATGTAGTATGTTTATGTTCTATAATTACCTCAATTCTCAGAATCAGTGGATCATTACATCGAAAATTAATTAACAAAATAAAATTGGATATTATATTAACCAATCATTGTGATGAACATGCACAAAATTCCAAAAGTTATTATATATATTCGTATATATATATATATATATATATATATATTTGGTTATAAAGAAAAATACTACAAGAACAAATTTAAAACAACTCGCACCAAAATCGGCACTATTTCTATGAACACCAAAACAGAAATTAAGAATTCTACCAGGGTTGCCGTATGGGAGCAGAGGCGGTGATGGCATTGATGGAAGCAACTCCCGAAACGGAGTCGTGTGTCGTGTCTTTGGACGGCAACCAGGCTGTACGTTTGCCACTTATGGAGTGTGTACGTCGTACTAAAGCTGTTTCTCAGGTATGTTAAGTTGATACTGTGTTGTAATAATTTTTCATAACTTATTTAATGACTGAAGCAGAAGTGACTTTTTTACTATATTATAAGCCACTGACTAACTACTATCCCACTCATAGAATACTATAATACATACATAATAGAACGGGGGAGTGGGCGGAGCCCGCGTAGCCACTAAAATGTCACTAACACGTCAATTCACACGTATAAATGTCAACACGAGATGTGTTTTGACGTTACAATCGTTTCCAAATTTCGCATGCAAATTATTTAGAAAATGCCAAATTGCACCCTATTTACAAATAAATATGTATTAAAATTTAATCACGATCTTGAACATTAATCAAAAGTCTAAAATGTGTAAATTTACTCAGTCTGTCAACTCAGCGAATCGGGTTTGGCGATGCCAAACCTCGTATAAAATAAAGTTGACAGCCATTCTATTTTGTATTATAGTATTCTATGATCCCACCTGATGATAAGCGATGATGGAGGTGAAGATGGTACAGCTCACTGACATACCTCAACATAAGCCTATTTACTCATCCCTTAAAGATAAAATAGTGATGTACATTCTATAAATACTAGTAACAAGCACAAGTTAGTTAATACTAGTTACTCGACTCCAAAGAGTTGGTAATCCCATCAGTCCCAGAATATATGCATGACTTAGCTATCAAAAAGTTTAAATTTTTATTAATTTTATACGTGGTAGAGCCACGTTGCAGCGATGTTATGGTTGTAGCACAAATGAGTCGGCTTGACCAGGGAAGGACCACGCTCTCACAGAATACCAGCGTAAAATAGCAGCCTAATACTTGCTGTGTTTCATATGGTGAGTGTAGAGATCCGGAGACCCTTTTTAACTGGAAACTAGGCATTCCGTCTTAGGGGTGACAACGCATCTGCTTTTTGATTCTTAATGGAGGATAAATGTATATCGTAAATTATTTTTTTAAATGTCCCGCTGGGCTTTTACTTGTTCTTCCCAGGCTAGAGGTTTTTTTCCTAACCAGTGGTAAAAGTAAAAATTTATTTTTATTAAGTATTCTTGTAATCTTCTTTTAAATTAAATAAAAATGATTTTATTATTTTCTGTTGAATACGTAGGCAATGGCGGATAAGAATTTTGACCTTGCGGTACAACTGCGCGGGCGCAGTTTTGCTCGCAACTTAGAGACGTACAAAATGCTGACACGTTTGAAGCCACCTAAGGGAGCTTTCGATGAATCTGGTAAACCTTCTGTAAGTACAGCTTTAATAAAAAACAAATTAAAACATTAATTGTGCTATAATTAGATATTATATAAACTTATAAAATAGGTGGCCTTACCTAATGAGGTCTAATTTAAAACAAATTGGATTTGACAATGGAGATGCAAGGAAATGTTAATACGATTTTGTGGCCAAAATAAAAAAGATGAAATAACCTTGTACAACATGGTTATTTCAACTATTTTTTGATTATATATAAATAAAGGACATAGGTCAAAATACATGACAATTTCTTGTCAGGCTATATATAAGGTCCTAATGTAGGTACTATTTACCACGATAGAAAGCTCAATTGCATAATCCTTTAAATTAGGCGGCTCCACATCACCCGTCTTATCAAGGTGTCTCTTTTTCGTGCCTGACGTGAAAAGGGCGTTTTCCGTTTGAAAACGCATTTGTTTTGCTATTCTTACTAATTAGACGTTTTCATCTCAACTTTAATTTTCATATTGTTGACCTTACCGACGATATTCGCGTGTTTACTGGACATTTGTAAATATCAGTTAATCATAAACCTTATTTTTTCCAAATTAAATTTCTTGATTGTTTGATATTAACAAACGACATTATTAGGTGAATATTTAATTTAATAAAAACCAAGGTTTTTAGGGTGATTTATGTACACCTTATTATATAAATATTTTTTAAATAAAACAAAAAATAGTACAAAAGTTTTAAAAAAAGTTGGTAACTCTAGATTTTAAGGAAATCGTTGAAAAAGACGTAGTTAGCCACTAAAAACAAGTATCCTTCCATTTGCAATTGATGTTTGATGTCAACTAAACTTAATCACTTAGCTCTCAAGCGGCCGAATTCGGTCGCGGCGATATTCCGTCAAATACCAAGTGACCGAATTCGGCCACACCCACCCATAGCACTTTAACCCATAAATAATTATGGTTAGGGATTACTTTTCTATGAAGAAATTTGAAATTATAGGCTAAATATGAAATTTTCTATCCATTAGTGCATTAAAAAGTCAGTTACTCTATGGTTATTTATTTATAATCTACTTTCTTTACGTACGCCATTTTCGTGTGAATGTTATTGTGTTTTGTTGTGTTGATTTTTGGATTTTTCTAGTGTATTATTAGTGTTTTACTATAGTATTTTATTATAAAATTGGTATGAAAGTTCATCACACAAAAACTTTACGTAACCTTTTTACGTAAATAATTTCGATTAATATTTATAGAAATAATAGTGATTTTCACGCTGCCGACATCCGCTTGGTACTAACCGTTTTTTTTTTTAAATTAAAACAATAAAGTCTTTTTGTAATTAAATAAAACCTGATTTTTGTTTACACCACAGGATAGAGAATTTTGTATAGATTTATAATACCAAATTTCTTCATAGAAAAGTAGTATCTAAATATAAGTTATGGGTATAATGGTATGGGATAGAGGGTGGTATCTGGCTAGATACCACCCTCCATCCCATACCTATTTCTGGCGCAAAGTAGTAAGTATTAAAGGGTATAAAGAGCCGGAATAATTACTAGTTGTAAGGCGGCACCTTTTCATGGTCCTCGGAGGTGACAACACATGTGTAGCCTTCCTTACCTACTGCCACCTACTACCAACTTCACAGTAGTCACTTACCATCAAGTGGACTGTGAGTTGTTACTATGAACAATTTTATAAAAATATGAGTTTAGCGTTCGCGGGAATTTATATAATAATGGCAGTACAATACATCATGTATAGATGAAGTTGATTAATTGGGAAAATTTGTTAAATTCTCCTTGTGTTGTGTATGCTAGGAATATAATATCCATATTAGAGTATGGTGCATAGATGTTGTTCTTTACAGTCCCGTTACCTAAATATGTCTTCCAATGCAGAGCTAAAGAAATTTGGGGATGAAATATCAGCGTGCTGTTGGATAGGTTTTATTCTCACACTCAACATTTCCTACCGTACGAATATATGCACGCACACATGGTAACAATTTAACTCGGTAGGTTAGGATCGAGCTTTATGGTATTTAAAACGTGGAAATATATTGGACCCAGTTATCCAGCTGGATATATGTTAAAAATATTTAGGGTCGCTTATCGAAATAAAATATATCCTATATCTCAAGTTGGACCAAACTACACACAGTGTGCAAAATTTCATTCAAATCAGTTTAGTAGTTTAGGAGTAAATTGCTAACAAATAATGTGATACAAAAATTTTATATACCTACATATTAAGATATTAAGGCAATATTATATTTCGGTTAATAAATAGGTTAATAACAAAGCGTTTTCGTGTCAACAGTAATGTTTGAACAAATAATATTCAGTACATATGCACCAACTCAATATCTCAAGTGAGACAATATTAACTTAAAGTTAGAATTTATTTCAGTTTACTAAAATTGAGCTAGTTATAAGTTTTTATTTACCTGCATAAAGAAATGATGACTTAGAAGTTGTCTAGTTATTCCAAAAATCACTGGATTGTTGTAAACACAGCAAGCATTTAACGTAGCTGGCTGCATTTCTTCCATTTTACCAAATTGTGCATTTATGCCATTCTAGGAAGGCTACACACTAGCGGTGATGCATGTTGGTGCGCCGGCTTGTGGCATGAACGCGGCCGTGCGCTCGTTCGTACGGAACTGTATCTACCGTGGTGACACCGTACTCGGCATACACGACGGTATGGAGGGATTTATCAGTGGCAACATTGTCAAGATGGATTGGTAAGTATTCTTTTTCTTATTTTAAAATCTATTATCTATTCCAAATCGATGTGTGGGTCACACAGACAATTTTGCTAAATTAAAAAAAAACTGTATTTACTGTTTATATTATTTAATGTTTTCAAAGAATCTCTCCGTCAGCCTCTACAGTTCATGTGTCTGAACCAAGTTTTGAAACATTTTTTCCAGTCCGCTTTAGACACTTCTACGACCTGCTCGTACGTTGCTAGCGCATCTTCCAGCGATGAAAGCTGTATCTCTTTCAGTAGATTTTTTATTTTAGGGAATAAAATCAAGGCTATGAGGCGGTTGACCCTAAATCATAACCGGTGTAATGTCCAGGAAGTTTCCAGGAAGTTCCTCGTTTTAACCCCGACGTTCCCCGGGACCCCGTGTTCGGTCGCTTGTTGCTCACAGCAGTGAACATTTCTGACTAACATTTGGCAGTATACCATTCATCATTGATGCTACTTTAACTTTTTCTAGAAATTTTATATTGGAAATTGTAACCGTTGTATTTTTTGCTTGTAAATAATCTTATTTACGAAATAAATTATTCTGGCGAAATAAATTATTCTATTATAGTATATATAATGGCCAGTGTCTCAAACAATTATTTTTTTCACAAAATTTTCTGCGTTGCCTGTCCGTTAATTACATAATTGATATTATTAATGTGAAATAAACAGAAATAATATAAGAAGTTATTTATATTTTACCTTTATTTATCGTAACACTAATAAATGTATTGTCTTCTTCGATCAATTGTGTATAATTGATCGAAGATTGTCTTGTAAATAATCATGTTTCATCTTACAACACTCACAAACAGTTTACAGTTGCAAAAAAGACAGTTAAGAAAAGTAATTAAAAATCATATTTTTGGGCATAATATTATTACGACATCCACTTAGGTATATGTTGCATCAAATTCAAGTAAGAATCATCCAAGAAAATAGTAGTATTTGTATTTTACTATTACTATGAAAGTACGTATTCTATTACAATTATGGGCCATACAAGTACTTATTCCGTGCGGGATTTGAACTTGGAGTTCAATAGTAAGCCAATGCGCTAAGGGAGCCGTCATTTAAAACGATGTTTTGGAAATTGTTATTTAAAACTATAAGATAAGGTTTAATGTCCATGGAATTAAGAATAAAAAGGCAATATATTGTATAATATGTTGATAGACGATATTCATCGTGTGGTGACGGCATGAGAAAATTACCCACTACCCCATATTCTACCGCGGATGTCGTGATAGTCGAAGGCGACGGAGAGAATTGAAGAAGATGGGCAGCAGCATCTTCCTGATAATGTCTTGTATAGAAGAGGGAGCTAACTATGAAGAAACGCAACTAATTACGGCATTAATGTGATCAAAATGTTTTCAGTCACAGTACCTTTCGAATAGCATAAGATTAATTCCATTCCTTTTATAATCACTTTTATTAAATCAAACATACCACCATTTTCGATATTCATGTATAATTGTGAAAGCGGGTGGAACACCGGTACTTGAAGTCCTTCAGAAGCTCTTCAATTCCGTCCTCCATTGTGGCACTACTCCGGAGGCGTGGAGGAGAAGTGCGGTGGTCTTGTTCTTTAAGAAAGGCGACAACGCTCTCTTGAAGAACTACAGACCGATTTCCCTTCTGATTGGTCTACGTGCTGTTTTCGAGAGTCATTACGAATCGTCTCGCACGCAGTCTCGACGACTTCCAGCCTCCCGAACAAGCCGGTTTCCGAAAAGGCTTCAGTACCATAGACCACATACATACCCTGCGGCAGATTGTACAGAAGACCGAAGAGTACAATCTGCCACTTTGCCTGGCGTATGTGGACTATGAGAAAGCCTTTGATTCCGTCGAAATTTGGGCGGCGCTACAGTCCCTTCAGCGGTGTCAAGTTGACTGTCGGTATATCGAAGTGCTGAAGTGTTTGAACAGTAGGGCTACGATGGCTATCCGAGTACAGAACCAGAGTTAGAAACCTATCCAACTGCAGAGAGGTGTAAGACAGGGTGACGTTATATCCCCGAAACTCTTCACCGCTGCGTTGGAAGACGTTTTCAAGCTACTGGACTGGAAAGGATACAGTATTAACATCAATCGCGAGTACATCACTCACCTTCGATTTGCCGACGGTATAGTCCTTATGGCAGAATCGCTGGAGAACCTTAGCACTATGCTCAATGACCTCAATGGTGTCTCCCAACGGATAGGTCTTAAGATGAACATGGACAAAACAAAGATCATGTTTAATGACCATGTCACACCTATACCGGTAGTTGTTAGGAGCACTATGCTCGAAGTTGTTGACGAGTACGTTTACCTGGGACAAATAGTCCGACAAGGTAAGTCCAACTTCGACCGAGAGGTCAATCGACGGATTCAACTCGGTTGGCAGCGTTCGGGAAATTACGACACATCTTCTCGTCAGGTATACCTCAATCTCTGAAAACTAAAGTGTACAACCAGTGCGTGTTGCCAGTGATGACTTACGGATCAGAGACGTGGTCCTCCACTGCTGGCCGTATGAGGACGCTCAAGGTCGCTCAGCGAGTTATGGAGAGGGCTATGCTCGGAGTTTCTCTGCGTGATAGACTCAGAAATGAGGATATCAGCAGTAAAACCAGAGTGACCGACATAGCCCAACGGATTAGTAAGCTGAAGTGGCAATGGGCCGGCCATATAGCTCGAAGAACCGATAACCGATGGGGAAGAAAGGTTCTCGAGTGGCAGCCTCGTACCGGTTGGCGTAGTGTAGGGCGACCCCCCACTAGATGGAGTGACGTCCTGGAGAGACATGCAGGAAGTCTATGGATGCAGGTGGCTCAGGACCGTGCTTTGTGGCATTGCTTGGGGGAGGCCTATGTTCAGCAGTGGACTTGTGAAGGGCTGTAATGATGATGTATAATTGTAATAATATCAAATTAATATTTTAGTATTAGTTGACAAAATCTATTAGTATATGATTTATAATTAATATATAGACAGACATAAAATGTTTATTTTTTTTAAAGGTCGGATGTTACCGGTTGGGTGGCTCAAGGTGGTGCCTTCTTAGGAACAAAACGCACATTGCCTGGCGATAAAAAAGGAGAAATCGCTGCACGTATTAAGCAATTCAATATTCAAGGCCTACTTATTATCGGTGGTTTCGAGGTAATTATTGAGTTTTTCAAATTAGAATCTAGTTACTTACTAACATTTTTTAGCTAACTTCAAAAAGGAGGAGTTTTTCAATTCACTGTATATTGAATAAAACTATTATTTACGGATTTTATCGCGTTTTAATTAGAACTATAATTTATATATAAATAAGTATAATTTATAAATAAATTATAGTTGTGATTAAAACGCGATAAAATCCGTAAATAATAGTTTTATTCAATGTGTAGTGTTCGCGTAAATTTAAGAAATCATCAACTGTATGTTTTTTTATATGTATTTTGTTATGTTACGCGATAAAATAGTCAATTGTGAACCGAATTATTTATTTGTTGATATTAAATGGAATACTTCAGAGCTAGTCCCATATGATTTAAAAAACATAGCCCTCCCGTATAGTGGAAAAATTGAGGCTGAAGTTTTTAATGTAACTATTTAGACGCGCGATTTGAGATTGTGATCCTTGCTCAATTCAAAGGGGTCAAAAAATAAAGTAATTTTTTTTATAGGATACAAATACAATCGAGCACACAGTCCACCTGATGGTAAGTGGTTGCTGTGCCCCCATAGACATGTACATCTATCCTCGATTACGAATCAAAATACAGATGCGTTGTCACCCGTGAGGACTTAGGTGGAATGCCTCGTTTCCAGTAAAAAGGGTCTCCGGTTCTCTACACTCACCATACGAAACACAGCAGCATTAAGCTACTATTTGACGCTGGTGTTCTGTGAGAGTGTGGTCCTTCCCCGGTCGAGCCGACCCATTCGTAGTTGAGGATGGACGTAGATGTCTATGGAGCACAGCAACCACTTACCATCAGATGGTGGTAACGTCAGTTAACATTTTAATTTATATAAAAAAATAAAATACTTGGTACATATCTTTAACCCCGCCTTTCCGCCATTCATCCTATATGCACGTACAGCGTCTCAAGCTCCGCGCGGCGGCAATTAGTAATGATCTAATGACATCCGCCACCGCACAAAGGGTATCGCGTCCTTTGATCTCCTTTTTAATATTATTCATCACCTGACATTGAGTCCTAGTAATTTTGCGAATGTGACGCGCTTTTCCGCGATTACAATAAGTCAAGAGCTAAGAAGAGTGTGCCATCCTGGAACTGATTTAAAAGTGCATGCGCCGAACCACGTGGTGGACCTGCTTTGTTAGCTCTTTTTTATGTGCGAGCAGCTATGCAGGAACTAGGGAAAGAGACCAGTATCACTGCGACCTAAAAGATCTATTGTGATCGCAGATCTATAGTTCACTGCTAAGCCCTATGTCTTCAATGAATAGAAGGAGTTGCTTAGCCGTGAGCAATTTCACTTTTTCTGGGTGGAGTAGATAGTTTCCCAGATGAGTGTTACGTTTGCGCATTAAGGGTCCGCAATCAGTTAGGATGTGTAGAGGCGTTTCTTCCGTATTGTTAGCTCATACTCCGGGAGGAAGGCGAGGCAGTCCCTCACAAGGTTAGTACGTGCATTCCTTTCCCATCCACTTTCCTAACTCTATTCGTTGTATGTACCATTACAGTCCACGAAATCTTTGTCGAAGATACTCATGTTATTGGCGCGTCCGGGTGGACTGTGTGCTCGTTTGTTAACCTTATCCTATATTTAACAAAAAACATACTGAAGGCTTTAATACTTTTATGCGCTTTGTTTTATCTTAGCATTAACTTCAGTACCTACTTACGTGAAATTATTTTATTGTTTAAAGTTCTTTGAGGTCGGCTTTTACTTCTTATTACAAGTTTATTATTTCCATACCAAATAAAAAGAAATTAAAATTGTATAGAATATCTTAACAGTCATTCAATTCTTGAATGCTGTTAAGATATTTTTTGACGTTTTCTTCGTCACCGGCCTGTAACAATTCGGTGTTTGGTCACAATGGGCCTGTTTTGTGTCTATAGTTTACAAGATGAGTGCGAGATAAGATGTAAGGGAAACGCGATAAAATCCGTAAAAGTAGTTTTAATCATGTATAGTGTTCGCGTAAATATAAGAAATCATTATGTAAGGGAAAGTTAGTGTAAGAAAAAAAACCCAATTAAAGTCGTTTGAAACTGATTTCATTCTAAAGGAATTATAAAAATTATGTTTAAGCAAAAGTACGGATGTTATACATGGGTGTGCAATTAACAAATAATATTCTTCCTAAGTGACCTAAATTAATGAGTCGTGCATTTATTTACTATTGTGCAGTAACAGTATCACGTATAGGGCCTGTGTGTGGGGAAAATTTTGTTTAAATAGTTGAAAATAATAACATAATATTACCAGTTTTAAGACCTTAGGTTCTTTTCGTTCGTTCATCAAAGGCCTTTGATATCACGAAAAATTGTGTTGTCACGAAAACAGAAATAAAATGATTTTGGATATTATAATATAATACTCATTAGTCATTATCATTTACTAACATTATGTACAATGTACTTATAAGTTCATTTAACTACTATTTCAGATCATTTGTTATAACTACAAGAAAAAACACACCTGTAAGAGTCACATTATCAAATATTTTCGTGACACTTTCTTTTTATAAATGTCTTCAGTTTTCAATTGTTAAATTAAATTATGTAATTTATTCGCATTCGGATAAACAATTTTATCAACAAAAAATGATGGAAAGTCCTTACTCATATAATTATAACAGTAATTCATCACTCTAGATATTTTATTTTTCAAAAACGGTATTTAAAATTAATTAAATAAGTACTGTAAAACGGGCTCGCGCCAACCGCGTTTATTGTTTATCAGACTCGTGCAGTGCGCTGGCACATGTTCGCCCCGCCCCCTGCCCCGCAGTGCCCCCACCGTTACTTTACACAAGTACATTCGTTTCCCAACTGTAAGGTCCTTAAACTGTGATATTACTAATGTGAATATTACTATTGTATCTAATTTTGTTTCCATTATCTAAACATTCAACAACAACAAAGAGCCGTGGTAGCTCAGATGGTTAACGCTCGCTGTAAATATAACAGAACGCGAGTAACCCTGGTTCGATCCCCGCCGGCACCAATGAAATAGTTAATTGCAATTTTAAGTGCTAATTTACCACGTGCTCGGCGGTGAAGGAAAACATCGTGAGGAAAGCTGCATGTCTGAGGAATAAGAAAAAAATATTTCAAAGACATGCGAAGTTTGCCAACACGCATTGGGGCAGCGCGGCGGACACTTCCTTGACAAAAACCCTCTCAGAAATGAGGGGAGGCCTGTGTCCAACAGTGGGACGTATATGGATGTAACTTTACTTTACTTTATATAAACATTAAATATAATTGGCTTACTTATTCAGTTAAACCATAAATCCATTTTTGTTCTAGGCGTATCAAGCAGGCTTAGAGCTTTACGAGTCTCGCTCGCAGTTCCCCGAGTTCTGCATCCCATTGGTAGTGATCCCTTCGACGATCAGTAACAACGTGCCCGGGACAGACTTCTCACTCGGCGCTGATACGGCTTTGAATGAAATCACCGAAATTTGCGACCGTATTAGACAGTCTGCACAGGTAATATTAATGACATACAGCAATATCGTATGAAAAAAAATTCCATGGATTATTTTAGAGGATATTCCGTGAAATATGAATAAGAAAAAATATTTATAATCATTTCAGGGAACTAAGCGCCGTGTCTTCGTGATAGAGACTATGGGAGGATATTGCGGCTACTTAGCTACCTTGGCTGGTATGTATTTTTCAACCGACTTCAAAAAAGGAGGCGGTTTTGAATTCGACTGATATTTTTAACTTCCTGCTGAGAAGAAAATTGAAAATTTTCAAAAATAGGGAAGTTGGTTTCACCCCGATTTTCGAAAATGGAGTTTTCATCAGATCTCGACGTTTTGAGATCCCAGAAAGCTATTCTGACTAATTTCGTGTGCGTGCGTGCGTGCGCGTGTGTGTGTGTGTGTGTGTGTGTGTGTGTGTGTGCGTGTGTGTGTGCGTGTGCATCTTGATCGATGGAGATGCGGTTTGCGCCGTTCTAGAAATCTCAATGTGGAATAGATTTGGTGATAATATGAACTGATTCGGATGAGTAAATTTTGAGAATCTCAAAACAAAAAAATTTAAAATCTGTTTCTTTAAATTACTTTTAGACAGCTTTGCCGATCTATTTCAAAAATCAGCTCTTTACCTCAAAAAATCGACGTCGAATGCCGTTTGGAAAATAAAATTCGGTTCATTCGTTCGTGAGATATTGAAGGAGAAACAATTTGAAAAAAAAAACATTTTTTTAACATAACTTCGAGATTTCGCAACATAATTTGGTGAAATTTGGAGTTTTGTGGTGGGTCAACCAATTTTTTTATGTACGTCGCTTTAGCAGTGGCGAATCCTCCATAGAAGCCGAAAAGCCGGGCTTGCCTTATTAAAACTGAATCAATTAATAATATCAATCAATAATATCATTTAATAAAATAATTCATAAACTGTTTCAAACTATTTCAAATTTCCCGCGCACTCCACTGTTCGACGCAGGTCGACCGATGACCTCGTATTGCCTTAGCGATACTGCTGCTATCATAAAAATGAGTTTTAATAGAGCGATTAGTTGTCTCTCTCGCTCGCGTGGGCTTTTTACGGGGATTTCGAGAAGACGATCGCTCTTATTCTAACCTATGGCAAAATATTCTACAATGAAATATAACAACGATTGTATATATAGCAATTAGTATAGAGAGTTAAAGCCAGGCTTTAGGAATGAAGTTGTCAAAAGCGGAGGCGCGCGGGCAATACGTTTGCAAGTTCATTTCACATTTCAATGTTTGTTTACTCTGTGTTTAGCTTAAGCGATTTATAAAATATATAAAATGTATGCTTTTTTAAAGATTTTTAGTGAAAATGGAAGATAATAGTATTCCTTGTGATGAATTAAAGTGTGTTAAAGTGCTAATCTGAGAGGAAAAGGTAAAATCTTTAAACTTTGTTGAGATAATACACAAGGTCAAAAGTGTATTTCAGACTTATCAATTATCGCAATTAAAAAACAGTTATTGGTACGATTAAAACGTTCACCAACATTTTACGTGGACGTAATTTATTCTTTCCAGAAAGAGACGATTCTATTTAGAATGTAAATAATTTGTTCGTTTTTTTTTTAAATTTTGTACATAGTTTGTTTGTACTTCGTTCATGTTTTACTTTTGTTCATGCATTGTATTGTATGTAAATTTTCTTTCTTTTCTTTCGCTCAACCAAACCCAAACGGCTTTCTTCAAAGCTACCGAAGCTATGCAATTGCTGATATGTAATACAATCTATCTAGCAGTAGTATGCCTTCTGTGTGCTTTGTTAAACACGTCCTTGACAGCACTGAATATGAAACTGAAGAGTGGAGACAACAATCTATATTTTTATCAATTTATATCTTGGGCTTGTCCTAGTTTGGAGCTCTAGCTTCGCCACTGCGCTTTAGAACTTTTTCTAGGTGAACTAATTTTGATGACTCTTTTTTTATTTGAAAGCTAGTGCTTCTGATGTGGTCCCACATAGATTTGATCTGGATCTGACCAGTAGTTTTTGAGTTAACCTTAATAATGGGTACTTAATTGACTTGATTACAATGATGATATTCTTATTTTAATTATATTGAAGTTGGTTGTACAAAATTTATAATTTTACCACTTGCTTATCATTAGTAGTAATAATAAAATTTTCTTGCATTGTATGTTATTTCATAGGTATATGATAAATGCACTTTCAGCTTTAGCCTTCGATTCGCAATACATTTTGCATTTCTATTAATTCAAACATAATGTCTTTCCCAGAGTCCTCTAAGACTTATGCTAATCCTAACGGTTACGGTACCTATTAATATGTCTTGTGTATAAATCACGCAATGTTGTGCTTCTGTGTCTAAAATTGAAACAAAGCTAAGCGTAACTATGACACTTGTCGGTGAAATTCGCTGTGTTTCACACTTGTGCGTCGGAATGCACATAAATCCGTTGGTAATGCGCTGGAATTCTGGTCATCTCATTGCACCATGGGGGAATAGACAGTACACCTGTATGTGCACACTACTCGTGCCCTATAATCCTGCCGTCTGGGAGATCTTATTATTATAATTTGTACATTATAAATAATATAATTTATTATTATTAATAACTTACGATAGTACTCGGAAATTATATCGGAGACGTCGTATCATTGAATATTTATAATGTCTCCTTGTTAAAAAGGTTTGGCTGGCGGTGCCGACGCAGCGTACATTTACGAAGAGAAGTTCTCTATAAAGGATCTGCAGCAAGACGTGTACCACATGGCATCGAAGATGACTGGCGGCATACAGCGCGGTCTCATCCTCCGTAACGAAAAAGCTAACGACAACTATAACACAGAGTTCATTTACCGTTTGTACTCGGAGGAGGGGAAGGGCCTCTTCACTGCTAGAATGAATGTTCTAGGTGAGTGTTTTTATGACAAACGATTATATCACGTTATTATTTGTTTAAATAAAAAAATATTATACATTTCAAACGAGATGATGATGATCTATGTGACGTTGTCTTTCAGCTAATGTACTTTTGACAGATCTGTCGTTACTTTATATAAGGTACTTGAGGCCGCCCTCTGTTACTCTTGCTACCTGCGTGAAATAATTGCCTACAATCGCGAGGCACCCAGGGTAACATACGCGACCGGGGCTAGCGCGTTGAGGCGATTGAATGTAATTTTTTTTAACGCTGTTTACGTAAATAGTCTTTTGTAAATACTTGTTGAAATAGTTTTTATTTAGTGTTTAGTATATTTAATTGTCAGATAAAATAGTATTGAAAAAGTTTTAATGTAATTTAAAGTTATATATATTATGTATATTACCTATTTGATCAATTGTAATGGAAAAAAGTCGTTCCTACTACTGTTGCTTGGATAGATGCTAAATGATCAACTAAGCTAAATATCATTCTATAAGTTACCGAAGGATTTTAATAAGAAGTTATGAAAGGTGAATTTATCTCATTTTAGGTACTTATAGCAAAAAAGAATTATATAAGTAATAATTTATCTACAAAATAACCTACTTAAAACTTAGTTGAAATTTACTTCACTATCCAAGTATCTACTTAGAATATACTTGTCTTTAGTAATTAAAATATTTTAAGTAATAATAACTCAAAATACTGAAATTAAAATTTGTTTACTAACGAAATATTTAACTTAAATTAATTTCCTTAAATTTTTGTCTCAGTGATTCTTTTGGTTTTAAATTATATTTATATTGCTCTAATGGCCCTCTTCTGTAAAATAAATATAATTTCAGTGTCAATCGCGTGTCCCCATAGCAAAATACCATACGACATAATGCTATGAAAATAACTAAGTAGAATACGATCACATTTCTGTTAGGAATCGTATTTGATGTTTATTTGTTGTTTTTTCCGAGTCAAGCATCGTGATTCCCGACGAATGACCTTGCAAGCTGCATGCGTTGGCTATCGCAGAACTCACACAGGTGTGAAAATATGGTCAGTCGATCATAGTCAGAATAGGTACTTCACCTAAGTAAATTAATTAACATTTCGCAATGTATTTTTTTACTCTTTATTGACAACCCTTAGTAACCACGTAAAGTCCGCCGTGACGTAGGAAGGAGAAAAGATGTAGAGTAATACGGACACTCGCGCGCAGCGATAAAGTTTTATTTAGCTTGCGTGCGCGATTTATCTAATTAATAATAATTATGTAGGCTATTTAACCTCAGCAAGCAGTCAACATCAAAGGAGTGCAACTTCTGTACGTAGAACTATTATTTATTTTGTGCTTGAAGGTAATATGGTCAGTCACCTTAAGCTTTGCCGCCCTATAAAACCAAAACTAGGAGGAAGGCAGAGACAAAAATACAAAGTCGTATACTATAAATAATATATTTAGAAAACATAGCAAACAAGCTTTATCAATAATTAGGAACACTTCGAAAAATCTACTTCCAAAAAATTTACTACACTACACAATACTAAAATCGACTAAAATATTTACTAAAATGTCAACTGTCAAAATGGCGTCGATAAAGTAGCGCCTTTTTGACCCTTTATAATTTGATTTACAACCAGGCTGTAGTTTTATATGTATAAGAAAGTGATCATACTAACCGGATGACCATATTACCCTCACAAACGTTATTGTTTAATTTTTATATATTACAAAAAAATACTTCAAGTTTTTCGGATAAAATGTAGACTAGATTACTCCTGGCAATGATCTCTAAAAATTTGTTCGTGAAGTTTCATCGTAATATGTTCGGCCATTCCGAAGGTTAGCCAGGACAGACAGATAAAATTAGTCCCTGAACTCGATAAAAGGTAGATATTTCGATATTACACACAGTCAATCAATTTATACACAATGAACTCCAAACACTATTATATATTGTATTTTAATGTCGCGAATATTCACAATAATTAAGATAAATGACTATAGATCATTTTAATAGACCTCTCAAATAAATAAATAAACAAAGCAACCAAACAGATGTCTGAATATTAGAGATCGTTATTCCGTCATATGGGTTAAGTGCCGTGCGCCGACAGCTAGTCGATAGCACGAACTATGTGATGGGCGTGGTTAAAAGGCATGATTATTTACAACAAAAACGAGCGCGCGAAATTTTATAAACAGACCTTTGGGAATCTGAATATCATAAAAAATCTATTTAACCTTTTGAGCGCCACGCCAAACTCACTACCGTGTCCTGTACGCCAAAGCGAAAAGTAAACAAAAATACCTACGAAAAAAACAGTGCTGCCAAGAGTTGATATATCGATAACACAAAATAACTTGTTTTTGTTGGTTTTTTATACAATAAATGACTCTTTATAATCGGGTATGTTTTATTTAATCTTGTGCTGTCTTCCACTCTTTTTATATATGTACTTTGTACATAAATAAAAAACAAACAATAACAATAAAATAGTAGTAAACCACAACACTACTCTCCATCGTGATGACGTCACTGTCACGACTGGACGACAACGGCGTAGCTGACCTTTCTTTTTGAAACTTTCTTAGAGATGTAGCCGTGTCGCACGTTGTGTATCGATTTCAAAATCGATCTAACCAAAATATACAGACATCGATTCAAAATATTTTATGGCGAGGCGTAGGCCAAGTGCTTTCATTTATTTATTAAATGAAAAGGTAGATAATTATTCACTAATCAACAATTGTATATAGGTAATTATTCGCACTAGGAAAATCAGTCTTATAATATTAAAATCAGTCTTATAATATTAAAATCAGTTATAAAATTAAATGATGACATATGGAACTGTGAGGTGGTCCTTCACTGCTGGCCGTATGAGGACGCTCAAAGTCGCTCAGCGAGCTATGGAGAGTGCTATGCTCGGAGTTTCTCTGCGTGATAAACTTAGAAATGAGGATATCCGCAGTAGAACCAGAGTGACCGACATAGCCCAACGGATTAGTAAGCTGAAGTGGCAATGGGCCGGCCATATAGCTCGAAGAACCGACAACCGTTGGGGAAAAAAGGTTCTCGAGTGGCAGCTTCGTACCGGTAGACGAAGTGTAGGGCGACCCCCCACTAGATGGAGTGACGACCTGGTAAGACATGCAGGAAGTCGATGGATGCAGGTGGCTCAGGACCGTGCTTTGTGGTTGGGGAGGCCTATGTTCAGCAGTGGACTTGTAAAGGGCTGTAATGATGATGATGATGAATATTAAAATCTTGGTCATGGAATAAAAAATCAGTAATTATTATAAAAATCAACAAATGGTACATAATTATCCACCAATCAACAAATGTATATAATTATTCGCACTAGAAAAATCAGTCTTATAATATTAAAATCTTGGTCATGGAATAAAAAAATCAGTACTTATTACAGAAATCAACAAATGGTACATAATTATTCACTAATCAACAATTGTAAATAATTATTTGCACTAGGTCTAGTCTTAAAATATTAAAATCTTGGTCTTTAACTCAATCAGTACTTAATATAGAAAACAACAATTAAAAATAATTAATAAATTATAGGTAATATTAGTCTTAAAATAATAAAAATCCAAAGCAAATTTTCTAACGTGGTAGAGCCATGCTGCAGTTACGAGTATATTACGGGAGAGTAGTTGTAGCACGAATGGGTCGGCTCAACCGGGGAAGAACCACGCTCTCACGGAATACCGGCGTTAAATAGTAGCTTAATGCTGCTGTGTTTCGTATGGTAAGTGTAGAGAACCGTAGACCCTCTTTACTGGAAACGAGGCATTCCATCTAAGTCCTCACGGGTGAGAGCGCATCTGCATTTTGATTCGTAATCGAGGATAGATGTAGATGTCTATGGGCCGCAGCAACCACTTACCATCAAGTGGAGTGTGTGCTCGTTTGTTACCCTATTTTATAAAAAAATTCGTCACGTTGAGTAAGGACAGTTAGTTAGTTAGTAGTTTCATTACGTACTCGTATTCACTTAAAACACACATCCGTGTCTATGACACAGCCACACACGAAGTGTTTTGTACTGCCTTTTTCTGATTTTTGCCTATACGTAACATTTTTCGTACAACCTTCCAGGTCATATGCAGCAAGGTGGTTCACCGACACCTTTCGATCGCAACATGGGCACCAAGATGGCTGCCAAATGCCTGCACTGGCTGGTCGAAAACATTCAGAAGGGGTCAGCCAACACACCTGACTCCGCCTGCTTGCTCGGAGTAGTTAAACGTCAATATAAGTTTACACCACTTGAAGATCTAAAATCGCAAACTAACTTTGCGTAAGTTTTTTTTTTTAATAATCATAGCGTGATATACAAATTTACTACCAACAGCCTACCTGTCAATGCCAATCTATCAAAGCACCATGGTGAAGCCTTTATAACATGTGAGTACTGAAAGAAAGTTCTAAAAAGTACTGTAACTAATGGTCACCTGTAATCACTTTCCTTTAACTGTAGTACTGATACCTCATAATGCAATAGAAAAACTGATAAACTTCTGTTTTGTGGCAGAATTGGGTTATCCAATTTATACAAAGGGTTATGCTCGAAATTTCTCCTCGTAAGAGACTTAGAAAATAGAGGATATCCGCAGATGAACCAGAGCTACCGATTTAGCGCAACGGATTAGTAAGTTTAAGTGGCAATGGGCCGGCCATATAGCTCGAGAACCGACAAGCGATAGAGATGAAAGAGCCCCAGTTAAGAATCAGAATAAATGACAAAGCAAAGTAAGCTCTTGTGGCGGCGCTGTCGTCGCACCACAAGCGAAACACATCGAAGCCTAAATCACGCTATCAAAGTTCCGAAGTAAAGCAGTGTATTATTTAGAATCCCTCCGAACTTCCAGTCGGAGAATTGGCCACTCTCCGGGCTGAACACCCTGCCCAACGGGAGATCTCTCCTATTCCTTCCACGGCCAAACCTTTAGCATACATCATTGAGCCCAAAGCCAAAGGTGGCATTGTCGTGTAAGATGGTCTATTTGTTGATTATTTTTGTGACATAAAAGCATTTTAACAACTTTAAATACAAAAGTTGATTTATTTTCCTTTCAGGCAGAGAGTACCCAAACAGCAATGGTGGATGAAATTGCGTCCCTTACTCCGCATTTTGGCTAAGCACGATTCTACTTACGAAGAGGAGGGCATGTACATGACCGTCGAACAAGGAGAAATTGACTCTGAAAACGTCATATAATTTTTCGTCCAGTTTTGAAGCAGATCTCTAGTAATGGCTATTAAATTTACACTTAGTTTTTGGTGTTGCCATATGCCATCCATCTCGAAATTATTTACTTAACCTTAGTAGAATTTAGAATATGTTAGCTAGTGATGTGCATTTTTATTTGTAGTCTTTTGTCGATTGAAATCAAAAAGTATTGTGTAGTAATATTTTTTTAAAATAATTATCTTATTATTATACTATAAAGACCATATGCTAAGATAATTAGTTATGTGAATTTTTTTCATAAATTATTAAGATAAACTCTGTAGATAAAGACATTTTACTAGAATTTAAAATAATATATATACAAATTAGCTATATTTTGTTGAACATTATGGATATATATATATATATTTTTTTTTTTTTTTTTTATATATTATATTATACTATTGTATAATAGCTTTTAAAAATCTTCAGATCTTATATCTCTGCTGTGCTGGTACAACACTTTATCAAAGGATGTTTCAGTAAAAACTGTTTTCCGGGGCAGTAGCTGGTAAGGTGACAGTGAAAACATTAATTAAACTTATTTTATACAATAGTTCAAAAGTGTTTCCTTATTCTTTAGCTAAAATGAGATTTCAAACAATGTATTAATAGTTTGTACGAATGTACTTCTTTTATTATAATTCAATTTGTTATATCCAAATAAAAACCGTTTCTTATTTCTAAACATATATGCTGTTTATTCATTGACATCACTGAATGCTTATTCTATATTAAGTCTATGACGTCCTCAGTAATTACAAGCAAGGGTACGTAGAGTATATAACCGCTCTACGTTTTACAAGGGAATTCTGAAAAAGAAAAACAATTGAATAACACAAAACTTCACTCAAACACAATTAACAATAACTTTTTTATTGACTATATATATATATATATATATAGTGTACAGCCCCAGATCTACGTTTTTTTTGAACCGGGGCAAAAATTTGATAGTGGCGCCTCTGTTTAAAACAACTTGTTAAAAAACCTCACAAATACATAATGGGTGATATTTTTTGTCATTAGGACAGTAAATTTTATTTTATTAATAAATTTGCACTCTTTATTACTTACTAGCTAATAACTTTTTCATTTGTGTAACATAAAGTTATACATATATAGAAAACATATAACAAAAAAAAAAACATCTTTAATTCTCAGCAATTTTTTCTCTCTAATCTTGCTACAGCTTTGTACGGCGTGCTTTCTTTTCTGGTGTGTAAATGCAACATGACGTTTTAAATACAGTGGTTATGATGATGTGCATTAAAGATTTTACTGAAAAATTTAAAATTATATAATTTTGGGGTTACTGAAAGAATTTGTTGTCGCCGCTAATATCATGTGTTTACGATATAATCAAACTGTTTATCATAATTCTTAAGATACTATTGTTTTATTGAAATACATAATGATATTTTTATTATAATAATAATACATTCTAAAATCGATATAGACAAAACGAACTGTTGCCCTAAGCAAGGTCCTCAAGATACCTCACGGCACTTCATAATGGATTCCATTATTTTGGAGGTGATGGCGATAGGCCTGTAGATGGACGAGTCTGAGTGAGTGTCACCTTAGTAGGGATTAGGTGCACTAAAGCTGTCTTTTATAAGTTCGGGACAACACCTAGGGAGTAGGAGTTCCGGCAAAGACGTGCACAATATATGGGGAATCTATCGGGGCCACTCATCTTGTTCACGTCCACCTTTATTATCTTTTTTCTGTGATGTTAGTGCTGTTAGCCTATTTGGCTTTACAGCTTCATATCTTCATCTGAGGATGTTCACGTCTAAGAAGGAGAGGAGACTGCTTTGCAACTGAGCGCTGTGTAAACCGTTCATGCGGCATGGAGCACTCAAAGTGGGATGGTCAGCGGTGTATACTCCCCGTCATCGAAAGTCGAGTTGGACACAAAAAGAGAACCTAAAAGATCGATTTTCTCCTTTGAGGCACGGACCAATGAGTCGTCTTTCTTGTGCAGAGATGGAAATGAAAAGAAACGCCGCGTTCTTCATCTCACGCCCTAACAGTGATCTACTAAGCACTGGCCCCCTTTCCTATACCACACCTCGATGGGTTCGGAAAGCAACGCATTGGGCGTGACCATAAGACGTTTAACTCAGAAACACAAACCGCTCTCTCAAAAAAGTGGTAGATTACAGATTACGCGCCCCAATGGATGGTCGCGGTCTAGAAACCAGACATGAACTTAGTGGACCATATATCTTCCTAATTCCCTACTTATAGGGTGGACACTGGTTAAATGTAACAGCAATAACTCGTAACTGCCCCTTGGAAACGTGATACCGAATTTCACTACTTTCACTTTGCTTTTTACTAATTCCACTTTCACTTTGCTTTTTAATAATTTTAAAAATTTTTCCTTCTTGATTTATAACGGAAAACCGTAGCTTTTCCCGAACGAATTGCAAATTGAGCGATTGAATTAAGTAAACTTTTAAACTAAAAAAACGAAAGTATTTAATGTGGTTTGATTGTGTATAATTTTAGTTACAGGTTAATATTTCCAATATGGACCATCGATTTCAAAGCCCATATTGTTTTTTGTAGATAGTACTCACTAAAAGAAAGCGTTTTGCAAAGTTTTAGGTTGCGGAAACTTACGGTTCATGAGATAGATTTTTTTAAACTTTTCATACAAATTGGCAAATAACACGCAATTACACCAATTACAAAATAAATTTGACAAATGATTGATGTCAAACGTCAATTAGTGTAGGGTTCCGAATATTTTGAAAGTCTAAAATATGGGCTTTGAAATCGATGGTCCATATTGGAAATATTAGCCTAACATTCCACAAGTAAATGAATTTACACCTAATATTAAAAAAATCAAAGCTATTTGATAAAAGGTTTGTTATTAATCTTAATATCGCAATTACCAATATGTTTGGCTTTATATTACTGAGTTTAGATCATGAAGGTTAGAGAACAGGAGAACGATCGCCGTAAAAATAGTGTCTCAGAAATATGGACACCATAAGTGAGGCGCTGCGATCTCTAAGTTCGGTCAATAAAAGCCATTTTCAGTCTATTTTTCCGATCAGATGCTAAACCACTTGCACATCCACGCACAATAAAATATTTCTCCATTTTTTAATGTTTCTTTTTGTTAAAAATTACAAAATTACTGTGCATGAAAATTTTCTCACCAATGTCGCGGAGAAAATTTATACATTATTCAACGAACTTCATCTACTTGTACTCATAAACAGCTAATTTCGCAATTACTACTCACCGACTTCAGCGCTGCTATAAATTCTACAATTTTCAAGGACAGGCGGGCTATGCTTTAGTACGTAGTGATCGTTCTCCTATTATCTAACCTTCATGTTTAAGATAAACAATAAAATTCAATAGGGTTGTCGAGTTCCTTGTCTATAATACTTATCGATGTTTCGTTCCTACCCATATCTGTTAACAACCAAAGTCTTCGACAACATCTAGGTAATTATCAAATGTTTATTAATTAACAGGTTTCCATCTGAATCTAGAATAAAATTATTACTTAAAAGCATAAATATTGTGATTTGAAGTCCGAAACAAAATAATCATCCTTATTATAAACATTTCACAGATGACTGTTTTATTAGACATGATACCGACAATATTTTCTGATAGTACCAGTACCAGTAAGTATAAAAGTATTAGATTATTATTTCAAATGTTTTTTTTTTAATTTATTTTCTCATTTTCCCCCAAACTCAAGGGCCATAGCAAAGAGTAGAAAGGTCGCCTGATGATGACTTTGTGTTTACAAGACGTAAGTTTGTTAAATCTGTTTGTCTAAATATGACCAATTTATTTATTATTTTATTTTTATAGGAGAGGGAGCAAACGAGCAACTTACCTGAAGGACACCCACGAACAACCGCAATACCAGGGAAATTGTAGATGCCTTGCCGGCTTTTTAAAAAGGAGTAGGCTTTCTTGAAGGTCCCTAAGTCGTATCGGTATGGAAAATTCTATGTTGGTAATCGATTCCACAAGGAAGTTGTGTGAGGAAGAAAACTTCTTTTAAATCGCACAGACCGCCAGTCATCCAGATGGTATGGAAGGTATTGTAAGTTTTGTCGTGATGCGCGATGGTGAAATTGTGCGGCAGGAATTAGTCCGAACAATTTCTCAGAGTACTCGCCGTGGTAAATGCGATAAAATACATAAAGCGATACAACATCTCTTCACAATCTCTTCTAATAGCCGTGGCTTGGTGACCCATGCTAAAAGTAGGGGACTCACATGGCTGACCCGAAGTGATCAGTCTGAGTGGGCTGTCGAGCCCTTGGATGTGTGTTAGTTGTCTGTGGCAAGAGGAGATTCCTCTACCTGTACTGTTGCAGTCAAGGTGAAGTCGCAAGGGAAGAGCAGTGTCCTGGTGTTACGTTCACTGCTGGCCGTATGATGAAGCTTAAAGTCACTCAGCAAGCTAGGGAGAGGTCTGTTCTTGAGTTTTCTCCGCATGATAAACTTAGAAATGACGATACCCGACGTAGAACGAGAGTGACCGACGTCGCCCATCGGATTATTAAGCTGAAGTGGGAATGAGTCGACCATATACCTCGAAGAACCGATAACCAATGGGAAGAAAGGTTCTCGAGTGGCAGCCTGGTACCGACAAGCGAAGTGTAGGACGTCCTCCGCAGATGAAGTGACAACCTGGTAAGACATGCAGGAAGTTGATGGATGCAGGTGGCTCAGGACTGTGCTTTATGGCATTCCTTGAGGCCTATGTTTAGCAGTGGGCTTGTGAAAAGAGGTAATGATGATGAATGATGATGGCATTATATTAATATGATACATAGATAGAATGGACGTAACGGTTAGAGGCCTATCCATAACGTTCATTCTATTTAGGTATAGATGGAGTATAGAATTTTTATCGATATATTTTGTCACATTGTCTTCGCTCTATTATTAGTTTCGTGGACGTTCACTTCTGCTGTCAGCGCCAAAATGGT